CCTCATCCAGATCGTTGATAAAGATAATACAACTTAATGCATTTCTAAACTGAATCCCAGTTTTAGCAAGGTGAAGTTTGATACACTTCAAAGCAAGGAAAACTGTAGACAAAATAATAAAATATTTCATCACCAATTGACGAAACAAGAAAAATGTAAAAAATAAGGAGGTTTTTTAAGTGTACAAGACAGCTTAAACTTCTGTAGGTTTGTGTCTTCCTGCTTTGAAAGTTGCTTGTCATCAATTCACAGCAACAGGGGTTTTTTATAAATACTGAAACCAATTATTTTTGCGATTCTGTTTACTGACTAGAATTATTGCTAAAATTGGTTATTTCTTTTAAAAAAAAAAATTATTATTGGGTTAGTATCCCCCAGAAGTAAAATTACTGGATTTCATTTCCTCTCCCCTTGAATTTTAATAACAGAAGCTGGTGTTCTGCAAAATAAGCCTAATGACCTGCATTCTGTGGTAGTGATCCATAACTTGATAATGGAACTTTCACAGTTATTTCTTATCTGTAGTTGCATTTCCTCAATCTGTCCTCGTTTGATGGGAAGGGAAGGAGGCAAGAGAACCTTGCAAAAGAATTGATATATATTACAGCCATCGGCAGTGGTATTTACTTATATAGATGTCTGTCTGATTGGACTGGTATAGGTATCTAAGTGGTTTGAGTTGGTGTTGCTAGGTAAGTTTGTTAGAAACAATTTGGGGTTTTGGGTTGATAGTGTCAATGGCGTTGTGGTGGGGAGATCATGGTAGGCATTTCTGCCCAGCTGAAATGGGGAGTTTAGCAGAAAATCTAATAGAGTCTCGTTCTTAAATTTCATACTTTGGATAGACAAGAAACATGCAGTGAAAGGGGTATTACTTGTGGCGAAAACCTTTTCAATAACACCTCTCCTAAGTACAAAGCAGCAGCATGGCTATTCTTCAGTACAGCTATTTCTTCATTTTATTAGCTGTTATATGAATTTTTGCTGAAAGGTTTTCCGCCTTTCTTGGTTAGACTTTATACTGAAGTCTGTAATCTCCGGTTCAGACTTCTGTATCTTCTGTGTGTTTGCATGGTTTGGTTTGTTTGTGTTAGCATTTGAAATAAATCATCAAGGCAGTGACCCCTCTTGTAGGAATTCTGTTTGGCTTATAACTCATTAGCTTAATCACATCATAAGGTGAGGTAAAACGGGAGTCTGGGCTGAATTACAAGTAGTAGTTCTGTGATGTTTTATTCAGTTGCAAATGGGAAAAATACATGTGTTTAAAAACATTGGTCTTTTTAGTCTAACAATGTTTGTGGTGAGGTGAAGAGCAGCAATCTTTTTTGTGCTTAGTTAGAAGTGTAAGCTGCTGCTTCGTAGATACCATACTTGCTTTTATGCAGTTTAGCTGGCACCGCTGTTCTTTCTTATTGATTTGGTCTTCATAATCAGAGTAGTGAATTGTAACAAATGTTGTATCTAAACAGTAGTCCTCATCCTGTGATATGCTAGAAATAAATAAAATATTCTGAACGGGAACTGGAGAGGAGAAAATTGATGGGATCTGAAGGTACAGTGGAATTTATCAACCAGATATTTTGAGAAATGTCTTGAATCCAGCGGGACCACCAGAACAAAGTGAGTGTAGGTTAGTTAATTGCTGGACATCTTTTAGGCTGCAGCCCTTCAATACTTGGTCTAATTGAGATCTGGTCAATGTGGCTTAACAGAAAAGATAGTTCAAAGTAAAAATCTTAAATTAGCCACAGATCTTGTAGAAAATGCTTTCATTTCTGTTGAGTAGACAGCTATCTCTTGAGAGTGGGTTGTTAAAGCTTTAGCTGGTACTAGCTGAAATAATAAAAAGTAAAGCTGAACTCTGCTTAAGGAGAGAATTATTCTGGTGGCTGAAGGATAGGACAGATTTTCTCTAGGGTTTACCAATAATGAATCAGCTCTCTTCCTTTCACATGGTCCTTCACTGATTCACAAAACCCTGAAGAAAGTGGGGGGGGAAATCCTTCCAGAAGACTCCTTTGCTCTTTACTCACTGGCAACAAGGCAGAACCAATCATAGGACTGAACTTTTTTAAAAATTCTAAGTGTTAATTAAGTAGTGTAGTTAATATTTTTTCCTTCTATAGTTCTAATAGTAGCTGAAAAACTACTTTGCACTGGGTATGCAACAAGTACTTTCGACTTCTGATTTATGGATTATTTTGGCTTACAGTATTTCTCTTAATAATTGAATTTTCTTTTTTTTTTTTTCTTAAACAGCACGACCATTTACAAAATTGGTAAAGGAAATGCAACTCCATCGAGATGACTTTGAAATTATAAAAGTGATTGGAAGAGGTGCATTTGGTGAGGTAAGAGATTTTTAGTCTCAGTTGTAGTAATGTAACTTTCATCGTTTGTGCATCTGATTTCTTGCTACAGTTAACCTGTACTTGTCCTAAAGAAAAAAGATTCACACAGATGTGTTAAAGTACTTCCAAATGTGGGATGTAGCCAGGTGCTAGTGAAAGGTCCCTTTGAAGCAGGGTATTTAGTGTCCAGTTCTACCATTTCTGTGACTGGCTCATTCTGACTTCAGTGTAGCAAAACAAGTGTCTCTTCAATGTGTGTATGAACAGGGTGGTCCCACCTAGCAGCTGCACAGCTGAATTTGGGATCTCTGCTCCCACTTGCCATATGTACTCTTCTGTGCTGCTATAATTTAACACAGAACTGGGCTGCTTCTATGGTAGGAACGCGGAGGCTGCTCCACCCATCTGCCTGTCTCTGTAGCAATCTGGTAATGCAGAAAGACGCATTTGGTTGCTTCAAAGGCTGTTCCCTGTCATCTTTGAAGATCAAAGGCTGCCGGATCTGTTTTTTTGGACAGCAAGTTGAATCATGCTGGGATGATAGGAACGCCTTGTGTTTTGAGGACTCGCCAGTCCCAGGACCCTGGACTGAAGCTTTACTTCTTAATATGCTTGATGAAAGTCTCATCAGTCACAGAAGTCTGATAGGGCTTGCCACTGGCAAAAGCATTCATGAGCATGTCCCCTCCAGTAGGCACCTGAGACTTCTGGAGAACCTCAAAGACAACCCTTTCAGCGTTTAAGTACATATAACTAAAGCCAGAGCTGTCAGCAAAAGAGGTTATTAACTAGAGAATTTCTAGAAGTAAAAAGCCCCTTAGATTTCTTACAGGAAGCTTCTTTTAAGTAGTGCCACACTAAAGTCAAATGTAGTGACAGCCGTTAGCGGTTCACTTCAGCCCATTAGCACTTGGTTACAACTTCTGCTGCCTTGGCTAAGGCTAGGCTTCCTTCTCTGTATCTCCTGTTTTCTCCACAGAGAGCAGGACTGTGTGCTGTGCAGGGCTTTCCTTCCAGGCATGGTGTGCCCTGGACACATCAAACTCTTTCACATAGGGTTTGATTGTGGGACAGAGGTATCACAGGCAGACCAGAAACTAAGCTAGAAAAATGCCAGGACCCTACTCGACCTAGGTTCAGAAAACAATGAGGTTTCTATGTGCATGTGCACGTGGTAGTGGGTGAAGTAATAGCTTCATATCCACATAATTTTAAGCTGCTTCAGAGACTGCTTTTGAGGAAAGTGGACACCTAAGACAGAAATTAGTGTTTCAAGAACATCTCTTCATCCATGCTATCATCTAACGATGTGATGAGGTAACATGTAGTTCACGTGTAATCATTGTGAGCATAGCTGCTGAAGGAACTTGAGCATTTTAAGTAAAATGTCCAGATAAATAGTAACATCTTGACCTGTAAGACCTAAGTTCACTTTCTAGTGGATGTTGAACTTGATGAGTTGCAACATTTGTTACAAAAAAGGAAGTGTTATCTTAGGGTAGTAGAAATACTGCGTGAAAATCAGTTGGTTGTTTCACTTGAATGTTTGTTTTCAGCTGGCGTGTATTATTCGAACATAATTTAGAGAGAAATGTTTTTAGAGAGAAAAGTTACTGCAAAGAGTTTGGCAGGAAAAAGCAGAAATGGGAAAAAAATTTGGTAAGTCTAAGGAAGGGCTGAAAGATACAAATTAAGTCCAGAAAAGAGGTCTGAGCAGAGAGGTTTATGAGTAGATAAAAGACCTAGAGAATCAAGACAGTAGTAGGTAACTGTCTACCTCTCCGTTAGGGTTTTGGTTCAAAGCAGTAGCACAGTTTTGAAGAGAGTGCCCCCACTTAGTGCAGAATGATTTTGCTATGCGTGAGCTGGATTTCTTTTGGAGGAAACTAAACCAGAACCTCCGTTCCAGGTGTGCACCAAATGTGCTTCTGGCCCCAAGGAGTACATAAGAATCAATCGCTAGGTTTGACTCTCCTAACAGCTTCAAAGCATGTTTGGTCCAGGAGACCAGGCTAGATACAGTCTGAAGCAAAATTCCTGAACTGCACACAGTATAGATGCAAAGGCTCAGCACAAGGAACTTTAATCTGTTGTTCTGGTCTTGCTGTACCAAATTGCTTGCTATAGTGGGTGTGACCACTGATATCTAAAGAATTTTAGATTAGTGTTTTGGCAGTTTGTCTTTTGGTGGGATTAGAAGTGGTTTCTGGATGTTTTCAGAACTAGACTTGTGAATGCTATAGCTATCAAAAATGGTTTTGGGTCAAGGGAACCCTTTAGCGACTTGCAGATGGAGTCAGTGTTGGGAATGCCTTCATACAGTATAATTTAAGGAAGAGCAAGCATGAGACTTAACTAAAGCAATTCGTACATCCCATCCCCCCCAGTGGAAATGAAATTTCACAGAAGTGAAATGAGAAAGTGTCTTAATTTCATCCTTCTGTTAGAGCTGTGAGTGCTCACAAAGTCAGTGGTGTTAGTTATCTGTCAATATCACATGTCCTGATTATTAATTATGAAAGTTTTAGTTGATTGTTAATTATAAACATAATCATAAATTCTAAAAGTTTTAGTTTGTAGTTACAGCAGCTTGAAACTTTTTGATCAGTTTAAATTATGCAGGAATCATTGATTTTAAGTTCATTATACTTTGATCCCACTTGCCAGAGAATATTTCATGCTTTTTGCTTATGAATGAATCCTTTGACCCTTGTGTATACTACACTGCTATAACTGCCAAATATTATAGGCATTATAAAATAGTAATTATATAAAGGTTGACATTCCATAATAAGAAAGTAAAATCTAGTTTCTTGAGAGGGAGTTAGGCATCTGACTTGTATAAAGCAACACTTCAGAAGACTGAATGGGGGAGCTGTAAGTAATTTTCCATAGTACGTTCATACATACATAGGAACTATGTTAGAAATTAGTTGATGGGATTCTAGTGGTTATAAGGTTATTCATTAGTTCCTGTTTAAAAAAACAACCCAAACATGACTATCTGCTAGAAATAAATTTTAAAAATAAAAATATTTGTTATAATGCATCAAGAAATTAATCAGAATTAAACTAAACATATTCCTATTAAAATTAAGTAGTTTAAATTAAATGCTGAACAGCTAAACAAGCCAGACTTCAAAAAGGATGAAAACTACATTCCATTCTTCTCAGTTTAGGTACTTTGGACTTTTTGGAGAATGCCAAGGGCTTTAGTCTTACCAAAGAACTTTTTCATAAATCAATAGCTTTGAAGAAAGATAGCTTAAACAAAATAAAGGCATGATATTAGTTATTAGTCAGGATCAGGGGTCAATTTTTGCCCTACAACATGTAAGCCAAGGAAAAATGGTCTTTGACCGGAGAGAGGACTGAGACCACATGTGAGCTTCTCCCTGTGAACACAACTGCAAAATCAGTATCTAATTTAAGGCTGATTGATATAATCACCAGTACATATCTGTACTGGCATGTCAGTGCCTTTTTCTATCTTTCTCCTTTTCAAACCAGAACTCAGCCTAGTTCTTTACACTTTTTCCAGCAATAGGAGAACAAAACCCAACTGGTAATCCAAAACCACCTGAATGAAAGTTCTTACAGCACGGGAGATCTGAGAAAGCAAGAGGAAAAAATGTTTCTTAAAGTTCTCATTATTATGCTGGGACAGAAATAGCGTAGCTCGGAACCTAGAGATTTCTTCTCTAGCCACCTGCCAAAACACACAGTTCTTTTCTCATAAACTAAGCCAGCTACTTTGCATGCAAGGTAAACTGAATGTCTGAATATCCTTTACAGCAACATTTAGGGCTCTGACTCCTGGAGTCACTGGCTTGAGAACATAATTTAATTTCTTCAGAAGTTTCATAGTTATGAAGAAAAGTTTGAAATGTTCTTTGAGTGCATGACAGTTAGAATAGCATATAAATTGAAATGCTAGCTGTAAGAAGGATAAACTACGCGTGGCTCTTCCCCGTCTCCTAGGGTGTATTTGCCTGGGGGTATACCCAGCTGGGTGGGACGTTTTTGTGAGTGCCCCAATGTTACTTTCAGTCTTTCTTTTTTGCGGGTCATATAGGCAGATAGCTCATGTGCAGAGGGGCAACCTTTGTGAGGAGTAAAAGTAGTAATAATTAAAAAGCCCCCTGAAATAAAATCAGAACTAAAATGTTTTTTCTGTAATCTTAATTCTGGTTTCTAGTAATAAAATTAATGTAGAAGTCTGTCTTTGTAGACAAGAATGAGTATGTTGCGTAGGGTGAAGGTTTTTGTTAACTAGTGAAAACACACATTCTTTAGGAGAAGATTTAAAGAATATGAGCACAGAATGGAAAACTCCTCCAGCTTTTAGACCTTAAAAAAACACACCAAAACAAAAAACCCAAATCCACCTTGGACTGACGTGAAGTGGCTTGAAGTTTGCATGTGTCTGACTACTCCTTCTGTCTAGAAACACTGTGGACCATTATTTGAAAGGAAATAATGTCCTGAGAAGCTGTGCTTGGTGGGATTGTGCCTGAGAAACTTATGCCAGCCTAAGAAATGTCTTCTGTGTGCTTGGTGTTTGCCTCTGCACGCCAAGGGAACTGGGAGTACTAGTGCTACAGTATGGTGAGAGTGATAGGAGGAGGATCCTGTGTACGGGGACTGTCTGGCTCTAAATACTAGCATTTGCTCCTTTGCAAGCTTCATCTAACCTCTTAGTAATGTACTTGTAAGTCTTTAAGATCACTTTTTCTCATTTTGTGTAAAGGACTGTTTAGTGCTGTAGATTAATGCATTTCAATGAAGAGCAGTTGTTGAAGGAAGAACCGTGTCAAGATGTACCTTGTTTGAGAATTTGGAGTGTATAATGTGGCTGACACCTCCTGGAAATTTGGCAGCATGGGACTGAAACAATTGTTTTCCTTCCCTTGTTTGTTAGCAAGGATTTCTTGAATGAGCAACGCTTACTGTGGTTGCAGCGGAAGGGTGGAACTGCTTGGTCTTGCTTAGCACAAAAA